CTCAGTTCCAGAATCTTAAGACAAGTGGCAAGATCTGGATAAACAGGCCCTAAGACGATTAATGGCAAATATCGGAAGACGCTTACTGAAGAGTGGTAAGAAGAGAACTAGGAGAACAGAAGGAAAAGGAAATCCTAGTGCACTCTCATATTCAAAATCTGCTCTCTGGGGCAAATCTTAGTCTTCCAGCATTAAGAATGGCACATAAGTTAACGTCCCTCTGATGTTCTCTTTAACATGTCCATGATTATAGGCCCTTTTATTTATTTTTTGTTTTTCTTTTTGAGACAGGATCTCACTATGAAGCTCAGGCCAGCCTTGAACTCATTTTGTACCCCAGGCTGGTCTCAAACTTACAAGGTCTTCCTGCCTCATCCTCCCCAGTCCTGGGATTACAGGTGTGCGCCACCACACCCAGCTATCAGCCCTTTCAAGTACTTCCATCAAGAATTAAGATGTGTTATGTGTATGTACCAACTCCCCATAAGGAATGAAGTCATTACATACTACAAACACACTAACAGTTTATTTTATTATTGACTTATTTTTCTTTTTGCAGAACTGGGGATTGACCTCAGGCCCTTGCGTTTGCCAGGCAAGCGCTTATTCTACTGAGCTACCTCCCCAGCCCCTAATTTTTAATTTTTTTTAATTTTTTGTATTTATAACAGAGTGTACAGGGTCTCACTGAGTAGATGGGACTCATACTGATCCTCCTGTTTACAGCCTCCCAAGTGATGGGAAGGCAGGCACGTGCCACCACGCCCAGTCTCAAAAGCCATCTCGGCACACACTGGAGGCGGAGCTGGCATAGCAGGCCCAGGAACTGAACTCATGGTCTCTGTGTCTGCCTAAGCAGGCGCTTTAATTGGCTGAGCTATTTAGCTGGCCCTTAATACTAACACTTTAAAAAAATAAAAATTAAATATTTTTCTATCATGCTTAATTAAAAATTATTTCATAAGCGTTTCTCTTATAAATAAAAGAACAAAGAAGTAAGCAGCTCAATTATAGGTGTACACAAGGCCTTGAGTCAGAAATGAACACAAACTCGGCACAAAAATACGGACTTAGCACAGGTCTGAGTTAAGACTCTTGCACAACAGCTGACTGATATTCACAATCACGCCTCATCTCCCTGAGCCCAGATTCCTATGTGCAAAACAGAAATAAGTGCATCTGCTGTTGGCTGAGGATAAAATGAGAGTACCTGTGAATTCTAAGGATAGCCAAGAGCCACACAGACTGCAAGTAAAAAGCAGCTGAACAGGACATGTGAAAACTAAATGTGCAACCATTTTCAGCTCAGCTCCAATCAGCACTGGACAGAAAAACCTCGCTATAACAAAAAATTATTTATCTGTTTTCTTCCTGTGGTGTGGTACTAGAGATCAAACCCAGGGCCTCACACTTGGTAAGCCAACATCTCTCTCACTGAGCTATACCCTCTGCTCAGAATAATTTTAACAAAAAAAGGGACACAGATGGCAAGTTTCATTTTTTTTTTCTTCCCAGTGCTGGGGATTGAACTCAGGACCTTGTGCTTGCCAGGCAAGAGCTTATTCTACTGAGCTATCTCCCCAGCCCCTAGTTTCAGCTTAAACAACATCAAATAATGCTCAGAAAGATACTCACATTCTGCCAAACTTCCCATAAAAGGCATCCCTATTCCATCTTTGGAGTACCTGGAAGATTGAAGAGTATAAATTACAGATTGAAAAAACACTGCTCATAGTCAATGTATGTATAATTTTGGTGGACTAATTAGGATTAATTAGATGTAATGATGAACACAGTTTTAGTGGTTTTGAGTTACCTGGAGAAATGAATGTAATTAGCTAAAGCTGAACCAGCTTGTAACAGCAATGCAGTTGTCAGAACCTTTAAAATCATGTGCATGGGTCCTCCTTTCTTAATAGCCTGCCACAATGATTGGGCATAAATGCAAGCAATCACAAAGTACACTAGGACTAGGAGGAAAAAGAACTCATGTAACCCTGTGAAGAGAAGAGAGGGAGTTCGCTTCAGTAAAACAATGCCAGATTAGTGCTGGGCTGCTTTCAAATCTTCCTCTCAATATTTTTCTAGAACTTGTTTTTTTTTTTTTAATTGGAGTCATAGCATTCCCTTTTATAATTCAAAGGAGAGAGAGACATTCAACTAATTTTCTACTTTGGAGCAAAGTTGTAACTATAAGGAGGCAGATTAAGCTGAACTAAAAAGTCAATCTGTAAAAAAAAAAAAAAAACCCACAGTGAAGGAAGTCCAAGATTCACCACAGAATTAGTAAAAAATAGCCAAGGAAAACAATGACTTCAGCATGCAGTTATAACGTACATGTCTTACCCTCAAGGTGAATTTCCTTTGTAAGAAGTTTAGAAATTAATTTATTCACCCAATAATAGCTTATTACACCTCCCCAGTGCTTCTCCAAGTGTGATCCCTGGGTCAGCAGCCTCAGTGGAGAACTTCCAAGGTGCACATTCTGAGGACCCTCCTCAAAGCTACTGAATTTGCTACTGAGGATGAAGCCTGAAGGAGTCTCCTGAGAATCACAGCTGTCCAGGGTTCCACTACTCTTAAGTTTCATTTGGACAAAGCCTTAGAACACCTGTCACGCCCAGAGGCCTCTTCTGAGATAAGTTTCTGCAGCTCCTGCCAGAGAGGAGACCCTCTGGAGATAGCAGACTGCATGCCACAGCCGGATGCAACTGACACCAAATAAGTGGCCAGGAACCCAGGTGGCTAACGACATCATGCGATGCTCTAAGTTAGGCAAAGGATATTTCCTCCTAAGAATTCAAACTACAAAATACGGAAAGGAAGTCATTACAGAAGCTGAAGCTAAACCGAGCCGACGTTGAGCTGGGACAGAAGAGTCAGCGAGGCCAGGATGGTATCACAGCTGGCGAAATGATCAGTGAGTTAGCAGAAATTGTGAGCAAAAGCAGCTGGGTAGCTGGCAAAGGTAAGCACGAATGCACAGGTTTTATATTACAAATGGTGCCAGTTAGTATAGCAGCCTCTAGAGCCCGCTAGCAGCTCTTCTGCACAATCTTGAAGTAACCTCATATTTTTTTCTGTGTTAGATTCCTAAAAATTTTTATAGTAAGTGTAAAAACATTATATAAGCCTTTGAATTTCATGCTGTGGAGCTCAATGATTTATATTAATAGTCATCTCAGTATCCAGGAGATTGGTTCCAGGACCTGAACCTTTGGATGTTCAAGGCCCTTCTGGAAAAACAGCATGATATCTGCATACAACCTACGTCCCGCCACCCACCCACACACTGTCACTTATCTCCAACTGCTTCTCATACTTAATATAAATGCTATACAGACATAGCTATACTGTATGGCTTAGAAAATTTTGACAAGAAAAGCCTGTACATGCTCAACACAGTCACAGTTTTTTTTCAAATACATTTGACCCATCGTTGGCTGTATCGAGATGTGGAAACCGCACCAACTAGTGCCTCCTGCTCTGGGCTGCGCACACGGCCACCCCCGCTGTCCCTGCTGTCCCCACCGTCCCGCCATCCAGCCATCCAGGTTCGTGCATCCTACTGCAGCTCCGGCCCAGGCTGCGCACGCAGGGAGCCATCTCCACCACGGAGCCTATGGATGAATCATGGGAAGCGCCAGCACGCTCACTCCAGCCACGAACACTAAGCCCGCCGAAACCTCCCTTTAGGGTAAGTGCCAATTAATGTGCAGCAATGAGAATATATCCATAACGTGGAAAGCAAATTGGGAAAAGCCATCCAGAAGACACAAGTCATAGGAAAAACAGTCAATAAACAGTTCAACCTCAATCCTTTTCTTGGCGTATTCGGGGGCGGGGGGAGCAGGAAGAGGTTTCCCAGTCACTCTGACTCTCCTGCTCTACCTACCTAAACGATGGTAGCTCGCTTTTCTAGCAAGAAAAAATCAAATCAGAGAAGAGGCATACTCCTTACACAGATATGCACTGCAGATTTAGAAATAATGGGACCATAATTCTCAGGTTTACAAATGCTAACCATAGTATAACAGCTGTGGGTTGGTAAAATTCGGTATGCCATCTCGTTTTGGATCTTGGTTTTTATCTTTACTTCTTTGCATTAAAGAATTAAATCATTCTATTTAAAGCTTTATTTATTTATAATAATTTATAAAAATCACAGGATAAACTGTTAGACTCTGTTAAGTTAAAATGTGCCATGAAAATAAAATTCTCAATTTGCTGAGAAATTACAGTAAAGAAGGAGAGACTTAAAAATACATACATAGTATCAAAAAATGTTTTAGGATTATGCAGTAGTTAAAGTATGTCTCAGGAAAAGCTAACATAAAGAAAAATTTTTCAATAAAATAATACATTAAACTAAGACATCTTTCCATTTTTTCAGTAAATTTTAAATAAGTCTTCCTCATAAGTGATTTTTACAGGATACTTTAAGGGTAAAATGCTGGTTCTATACTCACAGATTATTTACTTTCAAACCACCTCTAGCAAGTGCCCTTACAGCTGGGGAGACAGCTAGGCGGTCTAAGTGCCTGCCTGGCAAGCACACGGACCCAGGTTCAACGCCCAGTAGCGTATGCTGTGTTGGCCCTGGAACCCTGGCTGCCGCATTGGCCACCGAAACCGGGCGTGGTGGTGCACACCTGTAATCCCAGCACTGGGGAGGCTGAGTCAGGAGGATCACTACGAGTTCAAGCTGCATGGTGAGACCCTGTACCAAATAAAGATTTTTTTTTAAAGTTCTTTTTTCCTTCTCTTCAGCTATCAATTTTACTTTGTTCTGCTACCAGCCTTTACAAGAAAGCAATAGGTGAAATAAAATTTCAATCTGCACAGTGAAATCTAACGTTAAAAGCTGTGGATGGATGCTGCATGTTAAGTCTTACTTTCAATACAAATACACTAAAGATGAAAGTAAACGCTTACATGAGCAGACCATGTGTGGTGACCATCTCAAACAAAATATGAAGCCAGGCAAACTTAAGGAAAAACCACAGGCAAGATCACGTAGGGGTAAAACTTAGTGGACAGCGTCAGCCACTTCCGCCTCAGCTAAAGGGACCAGGGAGAGAAGAGGGTGAAAAACGGGGGAAGAATCCACGGGTTAAGAGGCAGACAGCCCCGCTTACCCACCAGCTTGCTGGCCCAGAGTCCCAGCGTCCACCCACTCTCCTGGGTCCCAAGGCACTCAGCATTTGCAATACCTTGTGCACAGAGGTAAACCTAATCTCTGGATAGATTCGCCCACCCTGATCGTCCTTCTGACAGGTTACTTCTGTGACGGCGTGCAGCTAGGGTGTGTGACCCAGTCCCGACACACGAAATGTCATGAGGGGCACCTGGGAAAGATTTCCTTCCCTGCTCTCAAAAACATACAGAACATCATCATCACCGCCCAGGCGGAACGCCTGGAACTGCTGCAGCGAACTTTGAACTTAAGGGCGCTAAGGACAAAGCTCTGACTCAGAAGGTAGTAGGGGAGATGCTACTAATCTGCTCTGCAGAACTCTTGCAACTTACGGTTGACCAGAGTAATTCATTTCTTTACTGTCCTATCACCTGCATGAGGGTTTTCTGTCACTTTAAGCCCAAAACATCCCAATGCGTGACTAGCTGGAAGGCCCAACCTGTTACCTTTCAGACTGTTGAAGGCCGGAAAAACAAAAGCAGGAACTTATCTGCTGGAATCTGGAATCTTAAAAATGGCAAGACCACAAAAGCAGCAGGGCCTGTAATACTATTCAATGAAAACCAGTCCGGCTGCTTTGGGTCACGCCGCTCTCAGGTTTCTTCTTTCGGTTTCTAACAAGAGCACAAATACAGCTGGACAGGATTTTAATCTTTTTAAGCAACAGTTCCATTTTATGCTACCTTAGAGCATTACATTCACATTGAGTACTCCATCAAGTGTCATAAAATGTGCCTTATAGTTTGTTTTGTAAAATTAGACCTACTGCATAAAGATGGGAATTTAAAGTGCTGGTAAATATAAAATAGATTAATTGGTTTGAAAGAAAACAAATTATAAACTTTTTTATAGTTACATGTAACTTGAATTGTGGCAATGTGTAGCACGTTATTTGAATTCCAACTTCTCAGCTATATGGTAATTGTTCTTAGCAAAATGCATAGCAAATCAATTTTCCTTACTGAGGCAGTTAATTAGATATAATGAGCAAAAGTTTCTAAAATGAATCAATTGAAGATTATCCCCTGGAAACAAATTCCATACATGAGGGTACAGAATAGGCAGAATCCCTCCCAGTGCTTTACTTTAAAACCAACACATCACTAAAACAGTATGAAATACAGATTTCTAGATAAGTGGTTCTGTACACGGAAATCAACTTCACAGCTCTCAACAAAAGCCTGACTTCCGCTCCAAACCAAATTTATTTGAGACTCTATGGGTAGACACCTGGGTTTGCTTTTTTAATCTCTCTAGATATGTACACAGTAAAGGGTTATAAACAACTTATTATTCAATGTAGAATTATACACAAAGGCTTTTCACATTTTAATCAATACAATGATGTGACTTTAAGGAATTAAGTTAGCCTCAAAACAGGATTGGATACTTCTGGCAATTCTTAATAATCAAATTCTATAGGTTAGATCTGCCTAGAAAGTCACATTTATTCAATGAGTTGCTCCTTCCTTAAATTATCAATGTAACTTTCCCTGTTCTGGGATACTTAAAAAAAAAAACAAAAACACAAACCGTGCTTTTAGATAGGAGAGTAAGCACTGTGACAAAATCAGGAAAAATTAAGCTGGAAGAACAAAACTAAATGAGAACACATGGATGCTCACGAAAAGGTAGCTACATCCTGTAACCGAGGATGTTACAGAAAACACCAGAAGGTACCGGCAAGGTTCTAGACAGGTCACACTATAACTAGCTTCGAGTGGCCCTAGCATGGCCCACAGAGCAAAAGTGATCACTATCTGGGGTGGAGGTCAAAGCTCAAATGCCGTGTTGGGGATGAGACAGAAATGGGAGCCACGAGAAGGCAGCAAGAAAAGATCCAGAAGAGTCCCATAAACGTATGCAACAAATAAAACCTCTTGGGCGAAAGGCTGAGCACCTGGAAGGCAGGAGGGAAGAGGCAGACTTAGACTAGGAGATCAGGACTGGATGAGAGGCAGCAGGGTGACAGCGACTGCAGCAGAGTATTACTTCTTAGGGGACACAGACCAATTCTAAAAACAAGTGTCACAGTTCAAATGGAACCTAAAGAAATTTACCCCAGCCATCCATCAAATGCTATCAGCAGACCTGGCTTTCATCAGATAGAGTTCCAAAATATGGAAAATATCAACATCTATCATAAAGGTAAGAGAAACGCAGGCCTACATAGCTGCCTACAATCACGTAAGTGGCCCATGGCATCCCCAGGGAAAGCCAACCCTGAAGCTCAGCTGCGCTCCAAAATGACGTGACTTTGACTGTGTGGTTTCCTCCACAAAAAGAACTTCTAAAACTATTTAAACATGTTGGGCTTTCCATTTTCACTCTGTATGCATTTTTTAAACGAAGGAATACTTTTTAAAAAATCTTTGTTCCTGTGTACACGGCTTGTGATCTGCCACCACGCCTCATCTTCGACCTGCTCTTCTTGCAGTGGCAAACGCACGCTGACCTGAACAGCACTTCAGTGGAGTGAGGCCTTACTCTCTACCCCCACCCATCTCCTCTGCGCCAACGAGGTACAATGCAGCTCATTTCTCTCTAAGCAGACCGACTGTTTCAAGTCATGAAAGGAACTCGTCAACAGGTGCACCCCAAATTCTCTTCTCTGACTTGTCCTACAGGGAGCCTTACTCCACCTGTTAACGGACATCTCTGCCATTCTTTTTTACAGCATGTTTATCGTGATCACAAGAAGTCATTCGTTCTGCTGGAGCTAGGCCTCTCATTACAGTAGGGCAGAACATGGTCATCTAAAATTTTGGTAAGATGTCTTATGGGAATAAATCTAGTTCTGAAAAAATTATAGCCACTGATCATTGCATAGCGAGCATCCCCAAGGCAATGTTTGTATTTGTGCAAGCAACCCAGGGAAGGGACAGCCTTATGAGGTAGCTCAATTATTACCTTCAGTTCCTGACTAACTGAAGCAGATTGCTCAGTTTATTAACATATTTATTAAATTCATGCTATGGTATCACAAAAACAAGATTTCAACTGCATAGAAGAAACTAAAAACTACGTAATTCTTATCACCCAAGTGATGGAAACAAGCTGTTGATATTTTTATAGTTTTTTATTCTCTGTAGTTTTAAATATACTTGTAGTCATGCAATATAAAATTCAGTGTTCTGCTTTTTAAATAATATTACAGCTATCAAAATGCTCTAATAAGATTAACTGTTCCTTGATGGTTACACCTACAGGTTGCTTTTTCATTCCTGAAGTTCCAAACACAACATGAAGATATTTGTACATATGTGAGTTTTAAAAAATAATGATGCATTTCAATGCATATTCTTACCAGATTCTCTGGCACTAAAATGGTCCAATGGATTTCCTTCGGCATCTGGGTTTAGCAACACCATTTCAAATGGGATATCTTCCATGTGAGGTGGCTCCACGTCATCCTTACACGTATACTTATCTGCATAGAACACGTGCCATGTCTGTGGAGATGGGACCTGGGACACTGTCACATTATGTTCAGTCTGATTCACTGCCACTTTAAAGAGAAAGAAAAGAGTGCCTTTTAAAGTCATATTCAGAACTGTTTTTCTCGTTGTAGCTACATAACCAATTTGGAGTTAGAATTCTTTTTCTGTCTTTTTTTTTTTTTTTTTAACCTCAGAAATCCAAGCTCTGGTTTAGTACTGGAATAGGCATACAAACTAGAAAGGAATTAAATTCAAAATCACTATAAAAATACTATAAAACACTACCAATGAGCAGAATAACTTCACCTCACTTTTATTTTTAAAAGCTTTCAAAATTCCCAAATGCAACATGTAAGATTTATTTTACTGTGATACAATGTATGCAAAATGTATCATTTGAGCCATTTTTAAGAGAACTGTCTGTGGCAGGAAGCACAGTGCAATGAGCACAGCGACGACGCTGTGTAAATGCTGTTAACGCTGTGTAAATGCTGTTAACGTAAAATAGAGTATTCAAGGAGAATCAGTACAAGTCCGATCCACATAGTGAGACCCTGCACACCCTGTACCAGATACATAAAAATAAATAAGAGTATTCAACTAAAAAAACCCAAAAAAACTACAGTATATCTAAAAATTATGCCAGACCAATAGTTTACAAGATTTTCTAAAATATTTTTCTAACAGGCTAATTCTCCAAAAACATAAAAAGCAGGGAATGTACGACTTACACTGAGGGGACCATACACAGTTGTGTCACCCATGGGAAGGACAGAGTTACGCACGCTGCTATCACAAGAACTGCTCTGGAACCCTAGTGTCAGCACTTACCTGCTCTGTGACCTGGGGCAAGCTACAAGCATCGATGTTCACGACAGCAAAGGACTCACGTGACCTGAGCTAAGTTACGTGTGTCCCCTCGCATGGTGTCTGGAACAGGGTAATTGCTAAGTAAATATTCTCTTTCTCCTTCCTTTAAGACAAACTGATTATAGCGAAGAATGTAGTTTCTCTGAAATACTTGAAGGCTTTAATAAGAAATTAATATATGAACAATAATTGGTTCAAGAATAAGGCTGCTGCAATGGGAGCCTTGCAGTTACATCAGCGGAACTGCTGCGTTATAGAAAGGATCTGTGAAGCTGCTGTCTTAATGCTTACACTTTTAGATTAGACAATCTAAAAATTGACAGTTTATTTTCAACAACATATTTTTGATGTTGCATTTTAAATCACATGGATCACATCAAACAAAAAAGTATGCTTACAAAGTGATACTGGCCTTTAGCTTTTGTTTTGTTGTCTTTTTCAATAAGCCTGGGAAGCAAGTCTCTTGACAAAACTGTGTGTTCATTGTTTTTGAAACAAAAGACAACAGTACAGCCTGTGTAGTCTATGCAGGTGTAATTAGTACCTCAGATACTAACAAACCTGAATTGCAAAGAGTGGTGTTGAATAGGTAATTGCCCAATTATATCATGAAAGGAAAGGAATACTATTAACCAAGATACAGAATAAAAAACTGCTATCTTTAAATGATATTTATTTGAGATGCATCAAATATACAAGAGGAATTATATGCATAAGATGTAAAAAGACAGTATCAAAATGTTTTATCTACAGTATTACACTTAGCGCCTGTGGTTCTTAAGCTGTCAACCCGACTGGCTGGGGAGCTGCCCAGAGGCTTGCTTAGTAAGGCACCTTTCTAATTGTGTCCGGCGGGTCACTGAGGTGTGACCTTGACTCGACACCCAGTCCTGGCCCTGTCCTCTGGCTCTGCTCCTTAGCGCTTGTTCTTGGATTCCGTTAATTAGGCAGCTCTACTTTGCCAGTCCCTTCTGTCACATTTCTACCTGGGAGCTCACCAACCAACCAGGCTAGGGATTTACTAATAAACTGGCAGGGGGCAGAGAGGTCAAAGGGGGCAGTGTTACAAGATTACTGTTTCTCACCTGTGTACAGGCTAGATGGTGTTGCCGGTTCCTGAAGCAGGCAACACTGAAAGAGGAGAGGGTTACAATAGTGGACACAAGGAATTCAGTTTGGAACCAAAGCTTGTAAACTTTTATATTAAATATATAAGATAATTAGATGAGCAAATTGGCACAGAAAGAAGAGTGAACCTTTGTACAAATTTCCCTGATTAAGATTTGAGGTTCAGAGCTAAGGTAAGTAACTTTACACAACTATCTCTCTGGTACCTAATCTAATCTCTCAGACCACTTTAGCATACTACCACTCTCATCCTACAAATCTAGGTAACAGCCACAAAGGATGACAAGGACTGGGAACTTCTAATTTTAGTCCCTATCTGGGTGGCTTTTTTGAGGGAACCAGACAGTGCTAATTCACCTCAATGTTTGGAAACTGAAGTGTTTCACCTGAGTAGGCTAAAAGAGCCCACCACGCTCCTTTATGCAGGTAAGATGAGTGGGGAAAGGAGTTGCTCTATTTTTCTCACAGATGCATCCAATTCCTCCTGTCTCTTACAATGAGTTAACACAACTTGAGGTAATATGGCTAGAGTAACATAGGTACTTCATTTCTAAACTACAAAAGCTTCGTAAGGCTTTCACTCAGAACAGCCAATACCCAGCGGTGGCACACCTATGGCACACATGTCACAGCAGGCTGTTTGTGTCATTGATAGCTCTGAAAGGTTCACCACCACTGCCCTAATGCACACGATAGTGTTGATGAGAATGGATGGAGGAGATACAAGCCATTAGATTAGGATAAAGCAGAGCCTCTCCAGAGGCAAACTCAGAGGTTTACAAATGATGTGAACACACCAACAAATGTGTCACCAAACAACAGAGCCTCATATTCTACAGGCATGTTATACAACAGTACTGGCCTAAATTATGCAGTTAACTGAGGCAATGCATGTTCAATGTGTAGCTCTGTGCTGACAGATAAATACACTAAACAAACGTTACTCTCTCCACGCAGCTATGTGGTTAACGTACCTGTTGTACGAACGTGCATTATGCAAACTGTAACACGTCTGAATGAAGGAAAAAATTCCTTTACAAATTGTCTGGATAAATACTCTGACAAAGGAGGAAAAAGTATTCTATCTTTTGAACAAGGAAAAAGTTTCCTTAAAATTCAGCTTAAAATGTAATTGACAAAACATGATAAAAATGTACCACAAAATGCAATATACAGTCATAAACCATGACAGTAGGTATAACGCAGTTACAGATATAATAATGGTCAAAAGAGAAAAAGAGAATATACTCACTTGTCAACTGAGCTCTGGATAATTTTTCACTACAACTATAATCATGATTATTTTCCTGCAGCTTTAGCCACTCCTGGGCTTGGAACAGGTAAAGTTTGGCTTCTTTTCCCACAGCGACTGCTATGTTGTTGATTCTGACACACAGAAGAGCATGGTCACCTTGACATTAAAACAAAAACTGTCAACTGGTTTGGTCTCACATGGCCCTAAGAAGGTAGGACAGCTCAACACCTACTGATCATACTGGTATTTAAAAAACACAATTTTGTTAAATCTCATGTAACAAGGTCAATCACAACAGAATGAATGCTGTATTCAGATGCAAGACAGTACTCAAATTACCGTGTAGCACATCCTTATAAGTCAGCTGTCAACTGCTAACATTCCATTGACTCATAGAAACACCTGGGGTCTCTGGACAAGCACTGTAATAGAATTTTTTCTTATTTTACTACCACTCTACACATTTTTTACACTTTTTTCATTAACTACAGAGATTTGTTGCCAGAGTTTTTTAATAACATGACTATAAATATTCAATTATGCTTTTGATATTAAAACATATCTCATAGCAAGAAAGATCAAATGTTTTGGGGGAATATGCCTTTTACACCTGAAACAAAATGTTCATAACTTTTACTAAAAAACTCTCCTAGCAATGTATGTTAGGTTATTAACCACGGAATAGTGTAGGCACCTCAAATTTCACTCGGGCAGCACTTTTGTTTAGATACTGATTATAATGAACCAGGCAGATGTCATTCCAACCTTAGTTGACTCTTGCACTGAATAAATTTGATAAAATTATCTTTTTATATTTCCTATTATAAAAATCAAATAAAATATGCAACTTTTGGTCACCCTGTATTTAAGTAAGTGGACTTGTATGTGGTTAATATAGCATCAACTCGGTTGTACACATCAACTACAGGTAAGACTCAGAATAGACTGCTTAGGCAGACGCAGGGGCCAGCCCTGCACCCAGGGGCACTGAGATGGTGATTGAGACTGGGTGTGGTGGCACACACCTGTAATCCCAGAGCTCGGGAGGCTGAAAAACAGAAGAACCACTGCAAGTCCGATCTGTGTAGTGAGACCCTATAGATCCTGACCTCAATGTCTTAAAAAAAAAAAAAAAAAAAAAGACTTGGAATAGAAACAGAAAATGCAGTTGCCTCTAGGGCAAGGGACTCTGGGAGTGGAGGGGTGAAACAAGGGACTCCTTTTCATTTTGAAGCTCTTATACCCTGTTTTTTTTTTTTTTTTTAAACTTTTACTACAACAATTATTCACTGGTTACATTACATATCATCTACAATATTAAACATGATGGTATGGTCTTATTTAATACCTTACATAACATTCAGAATTACAGTTCATGATTTCTGTATGGTTTCACTATTTATTGTACCAAACTGGAATTCACTGAAATCGGTAATAATGCAGCATACGTG